CTATGTCTATTCTGGATTCTCCTTCGTCTCCTCGCTCCGTCACAGCAAGGTTATTTTCGTAAACGAAAACTAAGACTAAAACGATTGATGAAAAAATTTCGTAAACTGAAAAAAATAAAAACGTCAAAATAATTGAAAAACTAAAACGAAACTAAACTAACAACAGTTATTGAAAAACTAACTGAAATAAAATAATTATCAAAAATAAATAATCGTTTTCGTAATCATTACGTTCTCACCCCTTGGCGGAAATATACGAGCTGTGTGGAGCTTTAGGGAAATAGCCTACCTGTAATGGCGCATCACGCACATTGGGTTATCTGATGGAGAGACGCAAAGCAGTTTAAAGCCTGCACGCAGGACTGCATTAAGACCTAACTGGGCCCCGGGGCTATGACTTACTGCAGGGCCCCCTATTACAAATATAATATTATATATTAATATTATTATAATATATATATTATAATATATTAATATTATTATTATAATATATATATATATATATATATAGCTTTAAATGGGATTTTTATCCTATCAAAATGTTGATGCATTGAAATTTCATAATTCTTGTTCCCAAATTCAATATAAAAATAAAAAATAAATAAAAAATACTAGCCTAAGTAAAAACAAGCTTATACTTAAGACAAGTAAACAGCCACAAATTACAAAAAAAATAGACCTACTCGAAACACTTATAGCACTGAATAAGAAATTATATTGTATAAAATAAATGTACAAATAAACTGAATAGTCTTCACTGTCTAAATTCATTCTTATTTATTTTACAAATGTGATTCGGTCAAGGACAGTGAGTGATTTCCTTTCTAATGTTTGATTAACATTATTGATATAAATTTTAACAGCAGCTAAATTAGGCTGCTTTAGAGGAAATAGCTCACCCAAAAATTAAAGGTCTGTTGTTGTTCTAAACCTGTATGAGCTTCCTTCTGCTGTTGAATGTAAAAGTATATATTTGGAACAATACTGGTAACCCAACAGTTGCTCTCCAATAGTTTTTTTTTCTTTTCTTTTTTCTTCTTCTCATATATGGAAGTAGTGAGGGCCCAGCAACTGTTTGATTACCAATATTGTTCCAAATATATTATTTTGTGTTCAACAGCATGAAGGAATCTCATACAGGTTTAGAACATCAACAGAATTTTAATTTTTGGGTGAACTACAGTGGGGCAAAAAAGTATTTAGTCAGCCACCAATTGTGCAAGTTCTCCCACTTAAAAAGATGAGAGAGGCCTGTAATTTTTATCATAGGTATACCTCAACTATGAGAGACAAAATGAGAAAAAAAAATCCAGAAAATCATAACGAAAGAATATGTAAAAGTATGGTATTTTAGCCCCCTGCTGTTGGGGCTAGAGGCGCACAGTAATTAACATGATAATTAATCGATGGCTGACTTTTCCATTTGTTGACATGACATGGTTAGATTCAGGTGGTAAATATCATATATTATGTTGGGTGTCCATATTAGAGATAATCACCATGTTTAGAATGAAACCATCATATTTAAAAACATGATATTAATCATATCATATAATAAAATATAATTTGCTGTTACTACTGTAAATATATATTCAATTATTATTGGATCTCCTTCAGTACTTTCAGAATCTTTACTTATTAAAACGATTTTGTTTCTGTATTTTAAAATATATTTTTTTATATTAACAAATTTTAATGACAGCATATTTATTGGGGAAAAAAATAATACTTTTATTTTTTCAAAATAAGCAGAAAATAGTACAAACTTTGCTAAAGTGATTGTTTTGAACAAGTATTAACTTAGACATTATTAAAAAAAAAAAGTATTTGTATAAATACCGTGTGCCTTTTACCCCAGGCTGGTGACCTTTTACCCCTCTTGCCACCTCATACATGTATACGATTTTTAAACAAAATAAACAACTTGAATGATTTATTTTCACACAAAATATGTTGCTCCATTAATGTTCAATACAACGTATATATTTTTTCTGCAATTATACATTTTAGGCGCAGTGAATGGCACATTTTTTCTTAAAGTGGGCTTTTAGTCCCGTTGTACCCTATATATATCATTATTGTGATGGGGGGGCCCTGCAGTAAGTCATAGCCCCGGGGCCCAGTGCGGTCTTAATGCGGCCCTGCGCATGTATCAGGCTGAAACCGTTTTAACGCACGCATTTACCAGAAAGAACTCTGCCCCGCTGCTTAATGTCCATGAACAGTTTAAACGGTTTAAAACCTGCTTAAAACGCGTTTAAATGATACGCTTAGCATATAAATAATTTACATTTAGTCATTTAGCAGATGCTTTTATCCAAAGCGACTTACAAATGAGGACAATAAAAGCAGTCAAAACTAACAAAAGAGCAACAATATATAAGTGCAAATGACAAGTCTCGGTTAGCCTAACGCAGTACACGTAGCAAGGTGTATACAGTATATATATTACACACACACACACACAAAGAAAAACAAGATAGAATAGAAAAAATTGAAAGCTAGTGTTTTTTAATAAAAAAAGAAGATAAATATAGATAAAGTAGAATTAAAATAGAATAGAAAGTGGTAGAGTTAGAGGGTCAAATAAAGGTGGAACAGATATGTTTTAGTCGTTTCTTGAAGATGGGTAAGGACTCAGCTGCTCGGATTGATTTGGGCAGGTCATTCCACCAGGAGGGAACAGTTAATGAGAAAGTCTGTGAAAGTGATTTTGTGCCTCTTTGAGATGGCACAATAATACGCTGTTCACTTGCAGAACGCAAGCTTCTAGAGGGCACATGACTGGGCAGCGATCACCTGATAGATACATGCACATATCCTTCAAAAGTCAAATATAGAATAAATGCATTTGATTGGTAAAACAAATTCAGACTTTATGCTTCAATCTCAAATGGTAATGCATGGAATTTACGGAAAAGCTCAACTAAATAACAGCTCTAATAAGTGGGGGGCGTGGTGGCTTTGGCGATCGGCGTGCCAGTCAATTTACTCCACAGCCAATCACGGGCCCCCTCCTTGCTCGGGCCCCGGGGATTCAGCCCCGTCTAGCCCAATGGTTAATACGGCCCTGCTTACAGCAATAGTTCACCGAAAAACGAAAATCTGCTGAAAATGTCTATTTAGATTTTGATTTGAAATTACTTACTTAGAAAATAATACATTACTAATAGAAAATAACAAAATATCTCAAGGTTTAATTTAAGAGCTCATGTAACATAACAGCTCATAAGTCCTGAGTTCAGTTTGAAAGTAAACATTTTCTGAAGAGTAAGCATCTCCTTTCTCTGAAAAAAGAAATAAATAAAAATAACTTTTTTTTTTGCCCTAGTGTGTCAGTAAGAAACAGGAAGGAAGTAAAGTCAGCATAAAGTCTGCAACTACTTATACAACAGACAGTAGAAACAGCAAGTAGCATCAGAGAACAGCAACTTGTAATGTAGGTAAAGCTAATATTTGATCGCATTTAAAATGTCATCTTAAGTAAAATGTTACTGTTTTCGTGATTTTAATGGGGTAGCATGAACTAAGATAACAGACTGATGAATCTTCTAAACTGTAATGACCCTTCAAGTCACTGTGAAACTCATTGAGTTTCCTTTTTCAGGACGAACAGCTCTGTGTCTTTCATTGTATATGTGAATTTACACAAAGTGAAGATCATTGAAGTGAAGTGAAGATGAACTCCAGACTCTCACCACTGATCCTGCTGCTGCTCATTCCAGGTTTGAGCATTACTGTGTGTTTTTCTCCTCTGTAATGTTTTTATTTAAATGTGTCTCCAATCATCTTCGTTATTTTCCAAGAGTGGTTATTCTGATTTATTTTGATCATAATTGCTCTTTATTTTCAAACAGTTGAAATCATTTTAGGTTAGTTTAACTTAACGTCCAGTAGGGCTGAACGTCAGTCTGAATTTTGGTCTAAAGTAACTGTAGCAGTAATTACCAATCAGAACTCACAATATCAGACGTGAGAGAGCGAGACTCTGGAGAATATCAGCTCATGTTCATCATGAATGATGGAGTTAAACATCTCAGCTCAGTGGCCGTCAGTCTAACAGTCACAGGTGAAACTGAATCGAGATTCTGGTCACTTCAGCTGTTTTCATTTGACATGTGATGAAGTTTTCTTAATCTTTACTCTATTCAGTCTTGCAGGCGAGGATGAATCATGCATCTACAGACCTGAGAGATGAGACAGTAGAAGTGATCTGTGATTCTTCCTGTGATTTGACCTCTGGAGTTCACTATTACTGGATGAAGAATAGACAGTATTTCAGATATACACAGTCCCCCAACATGTTTGTGTCAGTCGGCAGAGATGCTGGCAGCTTTTCCTGTTCTCTTTATCCACATAATGAACATCCCTCCTCTTCTGTGTGTGAGTTTCACATAATACACACAGTGTGGTGCTGTTTGTTCATACATGTGTATATTTAAACAGATACATTTAAACTGTGAGTTTTGCATGTTAATCTGTGTCTCTTTCAGGCATTTCTAAGAGTGGCTGCTGGGATGTGATTTACACCTCTAGAAGAGTCTGTGCTTTGGTGGGCTCAACAGTAGACATTTCCTGCACATACTCACATCCCTCTGGTTCTACTGTATATGAAACATTCTGGCGTTACGTTCGGCCTGGTGACTTTAAGGATCTGCGTGAGGAGCATCAGTTTGCTGGTCGTGTGGAGTATGTGGGGAACAAACTGAGAATCAAAGAGCTCAAGATCAGCGACTCTGGAGAATATCGATTCAGGTGCATCACTAACATGACAAACGGCCAATACTTTGGATCACCTGGAGTCATTCTTACTCTTACAGGTAACTCATCATAATGAATTTGATCAACAGTGAATGATAAGATTTTAATGCCACCAACGGTGAGAAACTGTTCACAGACAGACTAGAGTGCCATTATATCAAGTTTTTGTTTTCCATGTCACTCAAATTCACTGTTAAGCTCAGCTTTATAGTACTTTAATTCGGTGCTCCAGATACACAGGTAACAAGAAGCCCAGACATTATATCAGAGGGACAGGACGTGACATTAATCTGTTCAACTAAATGCACTCTGAACAACAAACATACTTACATCTGGTACAAGAACGGACGACAGGTAACGGATGGATTCACTAAAGACAACAAGCTGTACCTGGACTCAGTCAGCAATGAAGAGCTTCACCAGTATTCCTGTGCTGTAGGAGGTAACACATCTCTCATGATACATGTGCTTCAGTGTGAAATGTTTGATGAGTTCAGGTGGTTTCTCTGATAGTCATGATTCACTTATTTGTGTTGTGAAGATCCAGTGGACAGCACAGCGTTCAGCCATTATACAATCACTCTGCTGGTGTTTTTACCTCAGTTTCTCGTAATAGCAGCTCTGTGGATGTGGTGAGTAAAATATCTAGTTATATTCTCAACTGCATGACATATAGTGAATATATTGAAATTAATTCAGATTATAAAAATTAGATTTGTATTTTAACAGGTTTTTCATCAAAATGCGTCTCATTTCAAAACCAAACCGAAAACAAAAGTGAAGGTGAAAAATTATGTATATAGAGAATCTGCTATAATATAAAAGATGCAATGGCAGCAACATTGGTTTAAATGTGTTTAATGTCTTGCTCTTCGTCTGTCTCAGAATCTGATGCTCCACATCTGTACATCTGTACATCTGTACATCTGCTGTCTGTCCATCAGAGCCGCTGGAGTGATGTCATTGTGTTCTTCCATTGTGACATCATCACCTAGCAACAGTCAGAACTGTCAGCAGCAACACCAGTGATGTCATAGACAGTGACATATCATCGACTGTCCAGTCTGCATAGTCTAATGCTCAGATGTATTCATAGTATGAGCCTTTCTCAAGATTTCAAACTGTTTATTAACAAAAGTCTATAATTTTTCCCCAAAAAAGCATTGAAAAATGCCTGCAAAAAAATGTCTCAGGTTACTTATGTAACCATGGTTCCCTGAGTAGGGAACGAGACACTGCGTCCTCTAGGGGTCGCTATGGGGGAACGCCTCGTCGTGACCCGTGTCTGAAGCATACATTGAAAAAACACCAACTCGCTGAAACCTAGAGGACGCAGTGTCTCGTTCCCTACTCAGGGAACCATGGTTACATAAGTAACCTGAGACATTTTTTTGCAGGCATTTTTCAATGCTTTTTTGGGGAAAAATTATAGACTTTTGTTAATAAACAGTTTGAAATCTTGAGAAAGGCTCATACTATGAATACATCTGAGCATTAGACTATGCAGACTGGACAGTCGATGATATGTCACTGTCTATGACATCACTGGTGTTGCTGCTGACAGTTCTGACTGTTGCTAGGTGATGATGTCACAATGGAAGAACACAATGACATCACTCCAGCGGCTCTGATGGACAGACAGCAGATGTACAGATGTACAGATGTACAGATGTGGAGCATCAGATTCTGAGACAGACGAAGAGCAAGACATTAAACACATTTAAACCAATGTTGCTGCCATTGCATCTTTTATATTATAGCAGATTCTCTATATACATAATTTTTCACCTTCACTTTTGTTTTCGGTTTGGTTTATTCACTAAAGACAACAAGCTGTACCTGGACTCAGTCAGCAATGAAGAGCTTCACCAGTATTCCTGTGCTGTAGGAGGTAACACATCTCTCATGATACATGTGCTTCAGTGTGAAATGTTTGATGAGTTCAGGTGGTTTCTCTGATAGTCATGATTCACTTATTTGTGTTGTGAAGATCCAGTGGACAGCACAGCGTTCAGCCATTATACAATCACTCTGCTGGTGTTTTTACCTCAGTTTCTCGTAATAGCAGCTCTGTGGATGTGGTGAGTAAAATATCTAGTTATATTCTCAACTGCATGACATATAGTGAATATATTGAAATTAATTCAGATTATAAAAATTAGATTTGTATTTTAACAGGTTTTTCATCAAAATGCGTCTCATTTCAAAACCAAACCGAAAACAAAAGTGAAGGTGAAAAATTATGTATATAGAGAATCTGCTATAATATAAAAGATGCAATGGCAGCAACATTGGTTTAAATGTGTTTAATGTCTTGCTCTTCGTCTGTCTCAGAATCTGATGCTCCACATCTGTACATCTGTACATCTGTACATCTGCTGTCTGTCCATCAGAGCCGCTGGAGTGATGTCATTGTGTTCTTCCATTGTGACATCATCACCTAGCAACAGTCAGAACTGTCAGCAGCAACACCAGTGATGTCATAGACAGTGACATATCATCGACTGTCCAGTCTGCATAGTCTAATGCTCAGATGTATTCATAGTATGAGCCTTTCTCAAGATTTCAAACTGTTTATTAACAAAAGTCTATAATTTTTCCCCAAAAAAGCATTGAAAAATGCCTGCAAAAAAATGTCTCAGGTTACTTATGTAACCATGGTTCCCTGAGTAGGGAACGAGACACTGCGTCCTCTAGGGGTCGCTATGGGGGAACGCCTCGTCGTGACCCGTGTCTGAAGCATACATTGAAAAAACACCAACTCGCTGAAACCTAGAGGACGCAGTGTCTCGTTCCCTACTCAGAGAACCATGGTTACATAAGTAACCTGAGACGTTCCCTTTCATGGGAACTTCGAACTGCGTCCTCTAGGGGTCGCTATGGGGAATGGTATACCCACGCCACCATGCTGAGGGGAGTGCAAGCCAGAACCATGGCGAGCACTAAGAACCAACTCTACCATATTGCTATGGGAGT